CAAAGAGAGAAAAGGACAAAAAGCCACCAAAAGAGATTTTAGCATGGCCTCTTAAACACAGGTATTCTTGTCTGAGATGCTCTGATATCATTTAGATGAACATGATATGAATAAGTAGATATGGTATCAGTGATGTTGAAGTTCATTGAAATGTTTGGTTAATAATACCTGGAAAAAAGGTGAAGCTCTGTCAGTGAACTGTGCCCTATATCACGTGATTAATCTGAAGCTGGACAGATTTGTACCTTTTCCTGGCCACATGATTACCAGGTACCAGGTACCACCACACAGAGCTGCAGTGTATTCGCATAAATAAAAAGGAAGATTGTGGCAAAATTCTTCGATGGAACAGTTTGCATTATTTAATGCCAGTTTCTCCAAATCAGAAAGAACTGAGCCCACTTATGGGACAATGAAAAGCAACCCATCCTCAGGACATCCTGAGAAGGGGGGAGATGAAGGATATTGCCATGCAAAGTGTCCCAATGAAGACCAGCTTCTTGTTTGGAGCTGCAGGCTGTGAGGAGCAGTGCATGACCAGGTCCCTGTGCTCTTGCCTTTGCCTACCTCCAGGAAAGCGTCTGGCTGCTGCTGACAAGGGAGAGCTGTGAGTATCTGGGGTGACAGCTACTGCTACAGAAAAGGGGAAAATGACCTCCCCTCACATCAGTGGTTGCTGCCCTATCTCTCCAGGCCCGCTGCAGGAGTGGCAAGCCCTAGAAAAGCTCTAAGCACACGCTGGTACCAGGTAAGCCAAGATCCTCTGACTTTTATATGTAGTGCTCAATGAGAAGCCTCAGAGCATAAGCTAATAGACAGCAGTTCTTTTAGTGAAACCTTTATGTTAATTCAATACAGACTACTTATGGAATTTCCCTTCTCTGAGAAAATCTCAACTTCTATAGAGAACAGCACTCAGTCTTGTTCTTTTTCTTTTCAGAACTTCAGAAGTTCCCTTGAAAATTCCCCGAAGCCTTAATAATAATGATCCTCAGTTGCATGTCAGGATGTAATGTACAATGTAAAGTTTTCACATTTGACGCTCAGCATAGTTAAATTTACCACAGTGCTTCACATTCAATTTATCCCAAGAATTCTATCAAAATCACATAGTGTTCAACTAGAGATTTATCATGGGGTGCTTAACAATGAATTATTCAAGACTACCTAATGTATCGTGGTTTCTCAAGAGCCTAATGTTTGTATGTGTATACATTTATACATAAAATACCTGTGAGCCATTACAGAAAACCAGTTTCTGAATGAGGTTTCAAGAGTAAAACTAGAGGATGTTTAAAAATAGGTGTCCTCCTGAAAATACAGTGGAGTTTTAGAGAGAAGAAAACCTCAATAATCTTCCCTGTTCAGCTATACACATAGTCATTTAAAGAGGATATATATCCTGCAGGACTCCTTTTAGGTGAAATTTTAAAAGTATCTAAATTCTTCAGTGAAGGTGGTGTGGGTTTTTTTTTTTCCTATATGCATATTGATGTGGCGTTTTAAATCTCACTGAAAAGTTTTAAAGAATTTCCCTCATTTGCAGGTTTGAGAAGATTACTCTGTGCCTCCTACTAGCAATCATCTACAGTATTTTTCCCAAAGTGCTTTACTGAGTGGGTAAGCACTTCCTTTTTACTGATGGAAAAACAGACAAAAAAAGATGAAGTGGTCTGCCTGGGATAAACAGCTTGGTATGCTGCCTTTTCAAAGCCCTTAGGATTGCATTTTTTACCTGGCCAGGGGGCAGCCTGCTGGAACGACACTGAACTGTGCTCAAGGCAGTCCTTTGGTCCTTAGCTGTGCTCGCTGTAGGGGAACAGGCTGAGGAGAGTCCCCAGCTCACAGCTGCCTCTTTGGCTGCTTTTTCAGATGGCCCTGGAAATAACCCAAGGGGCCAGACTTTCAGTTCTTGGTTTTGTCCTCTGACCCAAACTGACTTTGGGATGACTGGTTTTATGTTCAAGGGAGGATCAGCTGCCACCATATGATACACATCCCTGTCTCCTCTGACACCTCATTGAGTCTTTCTTGTTAAGACAGTTGTGCTTGTCTGCAGAGGAAGGGCACTTATTATATTCCTGTGCACATAGGTGTGGTGAGAGGGCTGCATTTTCACTGATGGGTGGGAGGAAGTTTGACTACATCTAGCAGAACAAACCTTTCCTGCAGGCTGCAGGGGGGTTGCTATGGTCTCATTTCAACTTGCAGGCTGGAGCATCTATTTTGAACTTACTCAGGTCCTTGTGAAAAAATTCCCTTTGGCACAAGCAGCAGCTGTGATGGCTCCTTCTTCCTAAGGCATCTTGTGAGGAAGGGCCAGTATCTGATGCTTTCTCTTGATGACTCTGGTGATCAGGATGTGAGGCTTTCAGACAATGAGTAGCAAAGAAGGATCCAGATGCTATGTGTCCCAGAGGCCTGCAGGACAGACTTCAAGGGACAGCTGAGCAGAACAGGTAGAGGCTCAGACCTAGCTTCAGAAGTTGCATGGTCCTGGGTTTGTGTCTGGTCAGACTTGGTACACTAATTTAAGCTTATGGCACCTGTACGATCATATTCATGCTGATGTGTTTAGGATAACAGTAACTCTGTTCTTTAGCAAGTCAGAATCCCAAGTCTAAAAGCCAGACAAAGGAAGAACAAGGTGGGGGAGGGGGGGACAGACAAGGGAGAAGACAAGCACTGTCTCTAACAATAAAGAATCATCTTTTGCTTGTCCAATAGGAGCAGAAGAACACATTTCTCCTGAAGATACTCTTTGAGGGTCTGATTTTTCCATGAATCTCCAGTTCAGCGATGAATACTATCTCTTGCCCTAACCACCAGTTGCAAACTAGCCAGGGATTTCACTTACATTTGCCTCCCGTGCTGCCTCTGGGCAGGACATAGGACAGGTTACCCACAGCAGAGAACCTGCCACCACTGTAAGCTGGAAGTGTTCTCAAAGTATAATTTAAGTGAACTCAAGAGGAAAAATAGCCCAGAGACAGCGCCTGTGGCCAAAAGCTCAGGCAGAAGTGGTGTCATGTCAGTCCACAGCATGCAGCGAGCTACTCTGCATCTTCCTGCCTTGGTTTCTCTCCTGTGAAATGGGGACTAAAATACTCATCTGTCTTACAAACATGATTAAATGTAGGTTGAAGGAACTCCCTGTAAAAACCTTGAAAACTCTGAGAATGGTGGTCCTGTTCACTTAAGGCAGGATCTGGTCCGGACACTGAACTCCAAAGGGAAGGACATAGAAGGGCCAAGGTGCTCACAGCTGAGCACACAGACTGCCAGGGGAGTGCAGGCACGGGAGGAGGGAGAACACGGAGGTGATGCAAGACACATTTATTTGGGTTTGTTTGCTAAAGACATCACGTACTGGATTCAAAAGCAAAACCCGATTGAAAACCCGAGTGGCAATGAAAAGCTGCCAACACTGCTCTGTCGGGGAGTTTGGGTGAAAAAAAAAAAAGAAAAAAAAAAAAAGGAAAAAAAGAAATGCCAAATTCCTCTCCTCAGTACCCAAAGCCCAGCTCGGGCCCCCTCGCCTTTTGGAGGGCGGCCCAGCGCTCGCTTGCCAGTGGTGCGGGAGAAGGGAGGGCAGCAGCCCTCGGCCGGGCAGGGTGACCCAGCACGGAGAGCGCACACACAGACAGACACACACGTGTGTGCTGTGCACACACACCCCCGCAGCTGATGCAGGAAACCAACAGCGGCAGCACAGCCCCCACCGGCAAAACCCGCGTCCCGGGCCAAAAAAGGGGCGCCGCGGCGGAGAGCACGACGCGCCTCCTCCTCGTATTTCCTCCCCCGCCCACTTCCAGCGGCGGAGGGGCTCGCTGCCGCCGCCGGCTGCCGCCCGGGATGGAAAGTTGTAGCCGCGGCGGGATGCGCGGCGCGGCGGTGAGTTTCCCCGGCGGCGCCGGGGCGCGGCGGGCCGGGCGGGCGGGGGTGCGGGGAAGCCCGTCCGGGCGGGCGGCAGGGAGGAACCTCCGGGATCTCCGCGTCAGCCCCGTCTCTCTGCGTGTCCGTCCGTGTGTGTGTGTGTGCGCGCCCGGCCGTGCCGGTGCCCCGGGGGCCGGGCCCTGCCAGGGGGGAGCGCGACGCGCACCGTGCAGCGCCCCGAGCGGCGGCGGCGGCTTCGGCCGTCGGGGGGAGGCGCTGCCTCGTGCCGCGCCGAGCGGGGACCCCCTCTGAGGAGACCCCCGGGAGCCGCGGCGGCGAGGTGCCCCCCTGCCTCAGGGCAGGAGCAGGGGCCGGGGCGGTGGCGCCCGGGCAGTCCCACCGGTGAGAAGGAGGAGGAGGAGAAAGAAGAGGGGGAGGAGGCGGCGGGGCAGCAGCAGCGGCGGCCCCCCGGCCGTGCCTCCCCCACCGGGCCGCGAGGAAACCCCCTCGGTGACCCCTCCCCCGACCCGGGGAGGGGGCGGGACCGGGAGACCCGGTGACGTCACTGCTCCGGCCGCGCTTCCTGCAATAGAAAGTGAGAGAAGGTAAAACACCCCCCGCGCTCCCCCCGACGGTGACCGGGGCGCCGGGGGGAGGGGCGGGGCGGGGCGGGCCCGGCGGGGAACGCGGCTCTCCCCGAGGGGACCCCGGCGGATGCGCCGAGCCCGCCCGTCCTCCCTCCCGCCCTCCCTCCCTCCCCCGCCGGGCCCGCCCCGCCTCTCCCGCCTGCCAGGGGAGGCTCCCACTCCCCCGCCCCCCGTTCCCCCGCATTGTGTCCCCCCCTCGTCCACCGCCCCACGGCCGAGGGGCAGGGCCGCGATGGGGGCTCCCGAGTGGGACGTGGGGGATGGGGTTCCCGGAGGAGGGGTCTGCTGCCGCGGGGGGCGGGCGCGGCCGGGGGCCGGGGGGCTGCGGAGCGGGGCCGTGCCGGGGGGCGGCGCCTTGGCCGGCCCGGGGGGACGGTGCATGGAGGAGGGGTGGGTGCCGCTGCCGGGCTCTGTGTGTGCGTGTGTGTGCGGGCGCGGTGGCGGCTGTGGCGGCGGCGGCGCTGGGTCATGTTTGTGTTTGAGGTTGTCAAGTGAAGGAGGCTCCCGGCCCCCCCCGCTCCCCCCGCTCTTTCTCCCTCCCTCCCTCCCTCTCCCTCCCGCCGCCGCCGCCGCCGCCGCGCAGGGGTCGCCGCGCTCCCCGCCGCTGCCGCCGCCATCAGCCGCCGCGCCGGCCCCTCCGCCAGGTTTGCAGCGGGCCCCGCGGGGGGCGGGAGGGGGCTCGGGAGGCGCTGCGGGGACGAGGGTGCGGGGCGGGACGGCCGCCCCCCGCCGCCCCCTTCGGCGTGGAGCTGCGGCAGCCACAACACAATGTGTCCTCCACCGGCGGCGGGGGGGAAACGGGCGGGCGGGCGGGCGGGGACGGGGAGGACCGCAGGCCCCGATCCCCCCCTCAGCCCACCGCGCTCCGCCGCGGCCCCTCCGGGACGCGCGGGGACTCCGCGCTCCGGCTGCACCCGCGCTGCCCCCGGGGGTGCCAGTGCGCCCCGGCTCCCCGTGGGTCTGTCCGGGCGTCCCCCCCTCTCCGCCCCGGGTCTGCAGCCGGGGTTTCGGGGGCACTGGGAGGCGCGGAGCCCCGGCCCGGCTCCTCTCGGCCCCGCCGCCGTCCCCGCTGGGTGCCGGGCCGCGGCCGCCCCCCGTCCCTCTGTCCCCCTTCCCCCCCACCCCCCCGCGGCATGTGTGCAGCGCTTTGTTCGGTGCGGCGTTGCAGAGGGGTTTTCCCAGGCTCCTCCCTCTTTATTCATTCATGGATTTTTTGCCTCCCTCCCTTCCCCTTCCCTTCCCCTCGCAGTCCCGCTCGCACATGCCCGCGGCTCCCCGGGCCCCGCGGTGGGCTGCCTCCCGCCCCGCTCCCCCATTTTTGGGTGGGTACGGGGGGATGTGACCGCTGCGATCGCAAAGGCCCGTTTCTCCCTCTCCCCTTTTTTTTTTCGTTATTTTTTTTTCCCCTCGTTCAAGCGAGAGAGGGAATGACTTTTGGCGTGGGTCCTGCCCGGTGTTTCTGCCGTGGCTCTCACACGGCTATCTTTTCCCCGAAGGAGAGGGTCCTGCTGGAGAGCGGGGAAGCTTGGTGGCATTAAAGCGTCAGTAGGATGACATTTGTGCTGCAGGGAAGCGTCGGGAAGGGGCTCCCGATTTATGGAGACACCGGGGGATTTCAAACTCTCGCTTGGAATAACTTGTGCAAAGAAGTGACGGTGTTTATTAGCGTCTTTAAAAACCTCAGCCCAGCCCCAGGGACTTTCCCAGTCGAGCCAGAGGAAAGGGGAGGACCGGGGCTCAGGGAGTGCTGGTCGCTTCAAGCCATCCAGCCACTTTTCTCCATTTCCAGTTCGTGCCTAAGACCTGGAAAAGGGACCTGTTACCATAAGGTTTTATTTAATTTCTAAATATTTCTGTTATGCTTGCAGATAAACTGGTATGAGTTAACAGTTTGACAGGCACTGTGCTCTGTTTTGGGTTTTTTCCGTCTTTTTCCTTCAACGTGCAGTAATACCCTAGTGAAGAATCATTTAGTCAGAATAACATTTTCCAGCTTTCCTTTGTGTCAGTTGCAGTAATTTTTTTTCTCCTGTTTGGGTCTTTTTATGCAGCAACAGACAAAAGAAACATTAAAAATTAATGATTATATTCCTTAACAGTATGTAGACTGAAGGGGTGGTTGCAAGTAGTCTATTTTAATTGGGTTTGAATTAAATTTTCTCAAGAACATGGTTGCCTTGAAAAACAATGTAAGTGCCCCTAAATTAATACTTACAACAAATGCTAAGAACTCTACATCCTTCCTCCTTCAAACAGCTGTCCTTAATCAATTTGCCTATATTAGGGGCCATTCCAAAGTTCATACAGTTTTAAAAAAATTATTCCTAATGTTTAATAAAAAGAAAAATCTGTTGACATGAAATAGAATTATTTTATAAAGAAGCAGAAGCTTGTTATTTTTTAATTTTGTTTAGATGGAAGAGTGTAATTACACCAGTCATTTTCTTCTTTAGGTTCTTGTGTGTAAGTAGTTTTCCATAGGTCTTTGAGAGATTTCACATCCTGTATCAGAAACTGAACAAAACGCTCATTGAACTGTTAGCAATTCCTAAGAATGTTTGAAAAGTAAGAAAGTGCAGGTAGGTCAAGAGCTAGTGTGATCCCCAACTGTCCACTGATATTTCAGCAGAACTATCCCATGGGGAATTCTTCCAAACTTACATGCTGCATGTAAGGATTCTGTAGGTAATGTTAAAAATCGGATGATGCTTTGTGTGTTTGCCCTCCCCTCTGTACTTCCCCCACCCGAAGCTGAAGATGTGTATCTGAAAGCCAGATGCCAAATTTTGTTTAATTTTTTGGATTTATTTGCATGAGACGAGGGTTATTGGAAGATGTTTTCTGGCTAGAAAACAGCTGACAAATGTGGAAAAGTGTTTTCGTTTTCTCATGCTTCCTGAGTAATCCTAAAAGGAGTTTCAGCCTCACGTGGTTCTCTTAAGATACTGGAACGCTTGCCTCCATAAAACCTGTTGAGGAATCCGTTCAGTGCAGGTTGTGCAGCCGCCCTGGGAGCTGCAGGTTGAGCTCTGGGTGGCGGGAGCCCGGGGCAAGAGGCCGGGAAGTGGTGCCGACGCTTTGCACAACAAAGGGCACCAGGATCTGTCGCCCTGCCGGGGGACAGGGACGCAGCGGGAACCCGGGACTCAGCTGGAAGACCCCCGACTCTGGCACGCATAAGTCTGGGAGGGCGTAACAGCCCGGGGGATCCTTGAGGATCCCTCCTCTGAGGCACCAGCTTGGGCTGTTACTCTGTTGTTGCGCCGTGAAAAAAATTCTTCATGGACCGGGGGTCTGTGACTTTGCTGTGGGAAACGTGGGTTGAGCCGGCAAGGAAATCTTGTGTGTGAGAGTGGAGAGTGGAGGGAGTCAAGCCTGCTGTGAAGAGAATTCGGTCCCAGCAGTGTAACTCTGGTGGTCGGAGTGTGACTGCCAGGGTGGCTCCTAGGCTGTCAGAAAGGAAAGATTCTTTAGCAAATCATAGGTGCAGAAATATTTCTTACTAATTTCCATAGTCATTTGAAGATGAAAGGGATCAGATAGGTATCTTTGTTTTTCTTATTGATGCCTTCATCTCATAACTTTCTCTCTGTTTTTTTAGCATACGGATTAACTGAGGCCTTTGACAAGTTTATGGAGCTGCCATCTCTCTGCTTGCTGTACTTTCCGTTTCTGAGAGGAGAAAGTGGTGCATGAGATTAGAGGAAAATGCCTCGGACAAAGCAGATACATCCCAGAAATCTGAGAGGTATGTAGCTCTCAGTTGAGAAGGAAAAGCTCTTGGGAAACTTGGTTGCAGTTTCAATTATGAGGTTAAAGGAATATGTATTTAAGAAGTTGGTTTTGTTCCAAAAGTAACTTGTAAGCAAGTTTTAGGAGTTGTCTGTGAGACCGCTCTAATTTTCACAGAGAAATAACTGGAACATGTCCTTATTCCTGCAGTCTGTGTACTTGACAGCATTCTTGATGTTCTCCAGCTTACAGCAATAGCCAGCATGAACTTTGAAAATGCAAAGGAAGAAGCAGTTTCCTTATCAGAGAATTTACAGTTGAAATACAGGGGGAGGTGGGAAATGGGTGTGACATGGCAGAACTTGATGTCCTGCAGCCGGTAGTTGTTTTTCTTTAATAGTTGCCAGTTTAGCTTGCTTTTGAGGGGATCAAAACCTCCTCCCATGCATGGCTTCTCACTATTTATCTATCACCTGTCACGCATGCTACCTTGAGCATTGCTAGGTTTGACCTTGGTCTCCTTGCTCTCCTGCCTTTGCACAGCCACATGGTAGCTTGGCTCTAAGGGGCAAGCAGGTGAGAAAGCTGCTCTGCAAACTGGCAAGCTTACATCTCCTGGCATTTCCTTGAACAAAATCCCAGTGCACTTTATCAATCCCATGTGAATGTGAGGAATCTGATCCTATGGGTATTTGTTACTGCCTTGGTAGAAGTGGCCCTAGAGGAATTAAATGAGAGGAAAAATGCAGGTTGGTTGAAGAGCAGACATCCGTGTTGAGGGAGAACACGCTTCCATCCCCGCCCTTTTGCCCAGCTTTTGGAAGAACATGCTTCCACCTGCACCCTTACATGTAGCTGTCATCAGCTTTTTTCAGCTTAATTTTACAGTTGCAGTATGGAAGCATCCCTTCAGAGGAAAAAAGCCATTACAAAACCACAAAAATCAACATAAAGCTTTAGGGGCAGGAACAGCATTTGATTCTGGTTTTAACTTTTTTATGTCAAAACACAGCAAACATGTGTCTCAGTTAGTTTACAGTTGAGAGTCTCTCAAGGGCTTGTGCATACAGCTGTATCTGAGACCTCATGTTTGCAGACTGTTGTCATTGCTACCACTAACAGTCTCTTCTGGAGAAGACATTTTTGTAGTGTCTTTATTCAGGAAGTGCTGAGTAGCATTTTGGTATGATGGATAAACCTCTTTCACAGATCGGGGATTTTACATTTCTCCTTCTTACAGGATGTGAAGTAATAAATCAGAGCTGAGTTTTCAATATTGCTGCTTACCAAGTTGCTGACATAACTGAGCTTATGTTTTCTGATCAAATATGAGACTGATCTAATTTTAGTACTCTGATATCTACTCCTGTATTGCTTGAAACTTAATAGGAGTTAAATCTATTGTAAAGCTCTCTATTCACTTAAATAAATAATCTAATTAAACTCTTTAATTGTGTAAGAAATTAGTTGCCTTTTTTTCCTTGCATAATTTCTCCAGTCATTTAGCTTTTATCAATCCCGTTACAGCAGTTTTCATCAGTTCCTATTTTTCTACAACTAATGGAGTTCTTGAATGAATTGAGATGGGTTAAATGGTGGGAAGGGAAATAGCAGTGTATACAGCAAGCCCATAGTTAGAAATTATGTTGGAACAGCTCAATGATTGTCAAAACTACACAGGTTGCTATAAACTTCAGCACCTTGTGAGCAGATATTGCTACTGTCACGGGTTGTTAGAGGTGAAGTGATTTGAAAAATCAGTTTACTTCTCATTAGTTGTACACAATTTCCATTTCTAGTCTAGATAATGAAGAAAACTGGATTTCACTTTCTGTAGTCTCCTTATCAGTCCCTGAGAGCATTGCAGAAAATACTTGCTTTGAACACAAAATCTCTCACAAACTCTCAGTTTGTGCTGGAACTTGGGGAAACTGAAAGGTTTCACAGGTCTGTTTTCTGACAGCTTATTTGTGCATATGCAAAGTTAGACACATCTTAAATTGATGCTATTAATTAACCATTAAAACTTTAAAAAAGGGTGGTTTAGCATATGGTTTAATCCATGGTAATTGGTATTGATGACAACTAAGTGTGCAAAAAAGCATAAATGTATATGGTCGAAGGTGAAACTCAGCAAACTTGGCAATCAAAACAATATGTTCTGTAACATTTGAAAGACAAAGATGTAAGATTAAGTAACCTGTGTTTTTACAGGTTTTTAGGTTAAAAGCTATTTTTACGTTGTCTAAACCTGATTGTCACCTTTTGTACTATGTACAAAGAACACTCCATGGCCTTACCTGGCTTCTCCCTCCCTGCTGCCAGCTCCTCTCATTGCCCCATAGCAATCAAGTTGCCAACAGCTTTAACTAGACTTGCTCAGAGCCCATCAATGTTTAACTTTTTTGGAGATCACTGTAGAACAACCCTTGAGACTCCCTCTATGCTGTTGTGCATTAGATGAGTTATTTGGGTTGCACTTGCAGTCCAAATCAGCCTGGAGAATAAATAGCCACCTTCAAGAACCTAAAGTATTTTCCCTTAAAAAAACCCCAACACAATCCTTCTCTCCCTTCCTGCCAAGAAAACACACAGGAGAAAAACCACCATAGAAATCCCCCCCCACACACTCCCATTAGTTAATTTGAGGTTTGCTGCAATGTAGGAATAAGTTTTGAAGGTTTTAATATTGGCTGTGTTTACTGTAAGCAACCTTATTGTCTGGGGAAAATAAAGTAACATTGTTTAATATAGATAGCTAAATTTAAGATTTTGTTAGGAAACCTTAGGGCTCTTTGTTTTCTATCATGGCTTGATTTTGCTCATTTTGTATATTCTGTGAAATCTGACAGCCTTTGGCAGAAAAGCTGCTGCCCTAAAGTGTTAGGATCAGTGAAGATCCTATATTCTGAAGATTTCACTGTCTGCTTGTAGATGATGGAATATAGTGCTATACTGACCTGATTTTACAACAGGAAAAGAAACCTATATAAGCAAGATGGGGTATGGGAAACATTATTTTGCAAATAAAACCGAATCTAGTTAGTTGACCATTTGTTTTCATGAGTGTATTAGTGACATGGCTTTGATGCCTGTTTGCATCTGAAAGAGCATGTTGAATCTGAAGGTACCAATAAGACGTGCTGTGCTGCCCTTGTTTCATTAGATTGTTTTGTCATATCAGCCTTCCCTGCTCCTCACTGCAAATGCGTCCCTAATGTGAAACACGTTGCCATCACCAGTGGGCTGCTTTGGTAAGAGGAGTCATACACAGTATCAGGCTGAGTCTCCTGACCAACTTACAAGTCGTTGTCATCCCCAGCAATGGGGCTGAGTCGCTAAAATTTGAGAGAAATTACAGTTTTCTATGTCTCAAAGAAAGATGTGGATTGGGTGCATGGAAGTTCTGGAGAGTTTTAGTGGTTTCAGAGGTGAAGGCCAAAGGTATGGGTGGGAAAAGCCTGGTATGGGTTGTCCATTAGTGATGTGACTGGAGCTGAGTTCATAAGCAGGTGTTCCTGATGTTGTCCTAGTCTTTTAAATATTAAGGGTGTGTATTGTGTTGCTAATCAAAAGCATCATCATTCCTCCTTTAGAAAACAAAAAGGGAAATATTTGCAAAAGAGGAAAATACCTGTCTTGCTCAGACACCCAGAGGTCTCATTTTCTTATTTTTCTTTACTGTTTTAGCTCACTAAAACTAACAAAAAGACTCCTTTGCATGTGGCTGCACTCTGTATTTACATGGCCAATTGATCCACACGTGTAACAAAACATTTCATGGAATCTGTAATATATTCCCAGAAGTACAGTTACATTAGAGAATCATGCTTTTAGCAGGGCTGAGTGGGCTTGGTTTGTTGTCAGATGGTTCTGAGGATGTAGAAGGAAAAATGGCTCATGTTTTTGTTTACTTAGAAGTACCCAATTGCAGAGTTTAAAATGAAAAGTTTTGTTATGTGTACCCTGTTTAGCACAGTGCTGTGATTCACCAAAACAAAACTGTAACAAATATTTTGATTTTTGTCTCTTTCTTGATAAGCTTTCTGTTATTTTTTCAGAAGACAAGTTGTTGCTGTTTTTCCTTCTCAATCAAGTATTTCTCTTTGGAAACAATGGCAGACAGGCCCATAATGTTCAACAGCCGCTTCCAAATCTTCTAGTGCTTTGCATTTGATAAGGAAATGCAAGTATAATATAAGTAACTTTGCTGAATAGGTTGATAGCTTTGCAATAATCTAAAAGTCATGCTTAAGTTTGCTGGAAAGCTGTGTATGTAATGGCTTTAAAATGTCCAGTGGAGCTGGGCATCTTCTGCTTCTCAAGTGTGAGTTAACAAAGTCTCTCTGTGTTGTTTTAAGATTGTAATGTGCTTTTAGTGCTGAAATAGGTCTGTCTGTGTTGAAAGCTGACAGATTGATACTCCTTATTAGTGTTGGTTTTGTAGTCTAAGTTATGAATAGATTTGTGTGCTGTACTTTATTCATGATTTTCATCAAATGCCTTAATAAAAATATTGAGCTTTCTCAAGGCTTGCTTCTAGAATTTGTGCTTGCTTGAGTCAAAAGAAGTGTAAAAGCACACTTGACTTTTGGGTCTTTGTATTGTTTCTGAGACAAAAGTGATGCCCTAATTTAGGATGTTCCAGAGGGGCTGCTGGTGCAGTATTAGTACACCAGAAGTGCTGGTGGTCTGCACTTTGTAGCTTACTTGTGGGCATCTGTAAAGGTGTTGCATATGTGTCTTGCCTAAGTTTCTGGAGCAAGAGTGAGACACAGGTGGAACAAGAAGAGTTTTGGCTTGGTGACTTTGCTACAGAAAATATCCTGTGATTTGGCAGCAGTTTTTGTTTCTGTATGTCAGATAGTTTTGTGTAATTTCTTCTACAAGCCTATAATCTGTGCTCCAGACATCTCTCATGAAGGTAGAGAGAATGCATGGCTCTATTGATTTATCTCCCATTGGAGTACCAGCAGATCCACCTGTAATGCAGTGAATAGACAGATCTCCTGTTGACCACAGAAGTACTCTCTTCCTGTGTGTCTTGAGTTTCTCTTTTGGGATGTGGAAGGATAATGTTTCTTTTTTTGCTTCTTTTTGTTTTCCTGGTTAAAGGTGTAGGATCTTTAGTCTGTGTCTTATGGTGTGTATGGTCCAGCATCTTGTAAATTAGATATCAATGTGCCTGCAGACCTTAAATTTTATTGTAATGTGAATGATGTCTAAATGCAATAAACTGTCCCACATACTCCATGGTGTAAGAAAGGCTATGTTTAAAGCTGCAATTTGCCACCTTTTCCAATCACCTCTATTGCTTCTGTCTCATTGTGCCATGTTCCCAAATTTATCTTGTGTTTTCAGCGGGGTGTAGACCTATTCACTGCCAGGATGGTTGGGATCTTTTGTCAGTAGCCACAGTTGATGGACAAAAGCCTGTTGAGAGTGGATTGCAAGAGGGGAGGGAACAGTAGGGTGGGTAACACTGGTCACTGCTGCCTTGAGACAGCTCTGTTGAATTTCTGCATCTACCACTGAGTTTCTTGTGTTGAGACTGAGAGATTCTGTTACACCAAACCTTTGCAGCCACCCACTAATGGTGAGTGCTGCACTTTGCCTTGAGATACCCAGGCACAAGTTCTGAGTTTATGCAACAACAGTTGTTTGACTATAGTGACAGCTTGGTGCAAAATACTGCAAAAGTACATTTAAAAAAAAAAATAAATCAATGTCTAGGTGATGTAAAGTGAAGATCAAAATTAGCCAGCAATTTTGGCATATCTTTTAATTTCTCTCTGTCTCTTAATCTTTCTATGCCTCTGTTTTCTGCTGTAAACTGAATATACCAGTTCCACATCAGCTTTTAATGACTCAGAAGATGAAGTTGTTGGTGTTGTGAAGCAGACACTTGGTGGCTAAATAACGGAAAAGATGATGAAGAAACTGGTAGTAAACAGAGCCAAGCAGTGAGCACAGCTCAGTTTGCAACTGGCTTCGTTTGCATAAACACCCTTGCTTTTGGCATCTTCCAACTTCTTGCTGCTTCACCTCACAGTTCTTAACATTTAGAAGGTATTCTTAAAGCTTACTTCCTAGCTTCCGAAATAGCAAACTAAAAGCCCAAGACATTCCACCATATCTAACCACAAAGTTGTTCTGTGAGTCATCGACATTTTAGGACCTCAAGCTGCAACGCAGGTTTCTGTTGTGTGAGTTGGGCAGCCTGTGCTGGTGTGCCCTGCCTGGACCTGGCACAGGGCTCTGGAGAAAGGAATTTCTCCCATCAGTGAGTGTTCCTCATCATGTGTCAGAGTTTCACACTGTTGCTGAGAAAGCCCCTGAAGCCAGGAGGGAATACTCACGGGCAGGAAAGGTCTCTAGAGAGGAACTCCTTTAATGTCATTTCTCCGTTCGTTTTGAGACTGGTTTGAGCCATTGCTGCTGGAAGAGGAATGGGTGTAGTGGTCCTGCCTCCTGCCCACCTCAGATGCTTGTTGCCCTTCTCGCTTGTCTGTTTGCTGGCCCCACCATGGAAGTAGTGGCACCCAGAGCGAGTTATGCCTCAGCATCATCTGAGTTGGCTTTTTGGGCTGGGTTGGTTGTTCCCTGATGCTGTACACCCTTGCTGGAGCTGGTGGCAGTGGCAGACAGGGAGAGACAGTGCAGAGGCAGGAGTTGCCCTGAGCCTCTTGCTTGAACTCATGGTGAAACTATGTTGGAGGCCTCTATTTGCCATCTGTGAGCAGCAGGCTTTTTTAAGCTTCTTTAATTGCCCAAAAGCAGGTCTAGATTTTCATGAGGATAACAAAAGGTGTGTTCCCTCTTTCTGCTTTCTTTGCTTTGCTTTCCAGAACCCTCCTTCTACTGACGAATTTCCAAGCTTCACAAGTGATGCAGGTTCTTAATGGATGACTTAAGGAATTATATTGTACTGGTAAGCCAGCAGGAAACTGAACTGGTCTCAGCTGACACCTTAATGAAAAATAAAATAAAACACTGTCTCTAAAATGTGGCATAGAACTTTCATTCAGAATGAAAAAAAATCAGCTAAGGTTTATCAAATTAATAAGGAGGCCCAGAAAACTAAACTTGATTGTAGCTGGCACTGACAGCTCTGAATATGTATAGATTTTTGCATATTCATGCTAAATATTGCGAAAAGAGAATTGGAATAATACAAAGAGAATCTACTGGATATAGACCATGGTGAAAATAGGTGCTCTCAGAGGGAGTTAAAATAACATGAAGGAAGAGGGTGTAAGAATGGTATTCCAGCTAACAGGATTGCAAAGAAATACCTGCTACAATGTTGATAAAAAAATAAAAGAATGGAGGAAGGAGCTTAGTTCTGCTCTTTTGCTTTCAGGAAACAACAAATTGTATTTTTATCGAATAGAAAACCATTATAATTGCAGTTAGATACTGGTATTGAGCTAGAAAGGGATGGTCAAGGGTAATGTCAAAAAAATTGAATTCCTATGGAAACAAAAAAGTAACAGTGAACTGGGTCTCGAAAGCTACGTATAAGCCAGTTTAGATTTCTTTCAGAATTCAGTGAAGTGGAAACAGTGAACATCTTTAAATCTGCATCACCTTTACATCTGTATCTTCCTTATTGCTAATTGAGCGTGGAGTAAGAAATGCTACAGAATTTGACATTTGCTGAAGCACGAACTCCAGCGTGTTAGGAAGGTCATGAAGAAAATGGTAGCTGTGGAAAGAGAAACAAAAAGTAAGATTTCAGCAGTTGTTCTTGCAAGTATTTCTATTACAGCAGGCAGTTGACCTTGGGATGAAACTAAGACCAGTCTTTTTAGACCAAAAGCAATTACATTTTCTAAGAACCAAGCTTTCTTATGGGCATTTAGGAGAATATGGCGTTTTGTTTGGTTTTCTGGGTTTTTTTTTTAAATCCTCGCATCTCAGAATCAATATTTGGGTTGCTGTGTGTATGTAAGGTAACTTTAAATGGCAGATGGGTGTTTGTGTGTAAAAAACCAGAACAAACAAATGAAAAACCCAACAGCCACCACTAATATGTAACCATCTGAAAGAAACATGTAGATAGCAAAATTCCAGAGAACCTTGGTTAAGAGAGCCTTCTTGCAGATTTATGGTCAACTACACCTTAAATGGCTGTTTTGAAAAAGGCAAAGGCTTGTGGTCTGGTGTTTTCACATATGACTTTTTTGGGCTTCAGAACTATGCAAGTTTGTCTGTTGACTCCTGTCAGTATTTTCAAACTTTGAAGTCTTCAGTCCACTGGGCTTTGCAGTTGTGGTAGTGTTACTGCCATGTCTTATATCCAGCCCAATAAACTATCCAAGAACATTGTTACCTTTTAAAAATACTTGTTCTAATTAATTTTCCTTAATAAAAATACCAGAGGAATAAGTAACAAATAATGAATAATAAAGCCAGCATTACTATGATTGAAAGGGCTTGTGTTCCAAGTACTTTACTGCTGCTCCAGGTGAGGATTCTTATCTGTGGAAAGAATTCCCAGTCTTTAGCTGGGCAGACAGGCATGCAGGACCTTGGGCAGGGAGCTCAGTAACACAGTTGCCTGTATGTTAGGTGGGAGCATCTGTTTGACCTAACCCTTTGAAAAATTGTTGAGAAAATGAAAATTGTTTTTTTTCTAACCACAGTCTGTTGCTACCTTCAAAACAATCACTCATTGCCCACCTTGATGTATTCAGGAAACTTTGCAAAAGACTGTTTTGAGAGTTATCTTGTTTTGTTTTGGTTTTTAATGCAGGAATTGTTCCCTTTCATGGTGTGTATTCTGAGTTTCTTCTTACAATCAGATATTTTGATTTCAAATTGCAAACTGCTGTAAATATTTATGCTGGAAAACATAAAGGACACTTCCTAGAGCCACACATTTTTAGAGAGCTGGTTATACCAGTACAGAGTTCCTAGGCTGGTTCATTCTTTGGTATGTTGGAGTTCTGTGTTAGGCATTTTAGTTCAGAAATGGCTTACGAGATTATGGAGAGAGAAACTGAGGCTCTTAGTTGGAAAAGTAAGATTTCCCTTGCTGTGTTAAAACAGATGAATTAACTGGACTTTAGGTTTCCAAATCACATGTGTTGGGCAAAGTGCAGTCTTTCCCACCACTTGTTTAAATGTATCACAACTCAGAATATTTACATTTAGAGGAAGGAGGGGGGAAAACACCATGGCAGATTTTTGGAGCCTTCAGTAAAGCATTTATGGGGGAAGTAGGGAAGCTCTAGTTCAGTAGGTGAGGCAGTGCTGTTTGTTTTTAAGAGCTTTATAAATGCCTTTAAAGCTCCTCTCAGAATTAGGCTGCTCAGGGACTATGATGGTTTAGCAATTCCTGTACAACCTTTAGTGGAGGGCTGAAGAAGAAATCTCTTTGTCAGGATCCACAGGTTTTGAAAAGCAGAAGGAGGATTTTTACTAAGGCAAAGTTGAAAAAGTATCTGTAATTGAAAATTTAATCTTTATCACATGCATGTGGCCAGTTCAGTAAACTGGACTTAACATCTTTGATTACCA